ATACCATTTTCGATACCACAAGGATAAAAACTAAATTTAACTGAATTTTGACAGGTTAGTGTCTTTCATTTCAAACTGACCTGTTAATGACGTTGTCGTGACTGGTGGCCCACATTAATGACCCTAAACCTAACCCTAACCCTGACCCTGACCCTAACCCTAACCCTAACCCTGACCCTAACCCTAACCCTAACCCTAACCCTGACCCTAACCCTGACCCTGACCCTAACCCTGACCCTAACCCTAACCCTGACCCTAACCCTAACCCTAACCCTGACCCTAACCCTCCACCCTTCATAATTGTGATAAATAAATATTTTTTGGTTAAACTTGTTTGGACTTATTGTACAAACCTATTTAACATACACTATTTTAACATTATATTATGGATAGAGTTTAATTAAGTGTTTGAAAGATTAATTTCACTATTTTTAAATTAATGTCTATATTGCCATGAAGCAATTAGGATTTTCTTATCTGGAATGTTCCTATTGGTGACTTGGATTTGGGCGGAGTTGGATATGTACTTGATTAATGTTGGCGTGTTATTATTAGCCATTAGCCGCAGCTAGCAGTACAAGGCTAACGTCTTGTTAATGATCATAAACAACGTAAATAACTACATAAATAAATCAGAGAGAAGGGGGGGGTATCGATAATTTTGAAAATGAGTATCGTATCCGGATACAACATTTTAGTATCGATACTTTTTTGAGTATCGATACTTTTGACAAACCTAGATCCTGCTATGAATTATTAGCTAATTTAGGTGAAAAACCTCCTATTATTTTTTTAGATACTTCCCTACTTGCTTTTACAACAAATATAATAAAATGGACTCACAAATCAGAGGACTTTTCTGGACTTAAATCATCAGTTTGCTGGTTTGACCTTGGCTAAAGTGCATTGGTTAATTGGTTAATTGGTAATTGGTTAATTGCCTGGTTTGGTATTAATTAATACCGAGCTGTTCCTGGTTGTGACACTTTTACGTCTTTTGCCCCTCGTCTGAACCAGGGGAGGAGCAGCAGGAGCTCGAGTTCTGGAGGAAGAACCAGCCCAAAGAAAACGGCCAAGGTGAGTTAAGATTTCTCACTTTTGGGGGTTAAACACAACCGGGGTTTCAGCCAATCACAAGCAAGGAGGGCGGGGGAAATCACCATTTCGGGGGAAATCTTCTATTGAGTTTCCTCCTTCTTTCCCATATAATCCTCCGCTTCCTTTTTAATCACATTTAACATGTAACTTTTTTGCCATTTTTTAAGCTAATCTTTCAAGGTCAACTGAAATCTTTCTGCTAAAAGCTTCATAAAAAACTTTTTTACTAGTGTCTAGCTAGCTTTTAACTATTATTTTGCTATCTTTCAGGGTCAGCTGAGCAATTTCTGCTAAAAGCTTTATCAAAAACCTTTTTAACTAACATTTAGCTAGCTTTTAGCCATTATTTAGCTATCTTCCAGGGTCAGCTGAGCTATTCCTAACTAACAGCTTAATCAAAAACCTTTTTACTAACATCTAGCTAGCTTTTAGCTATTATTTAGCTATCTTTCAGGGTCAACTGAGCTATTTCTGCTAAAAATTTCATCAAAAACTTTTTTATTAACGTCTAGCTAGCTTTTAGCTATTATTTAGTTATCTTTCAGGGTCAACTGAGCTATTCCTAACTAAAAGCTTTATCAAAAACTTTTTTACAAACATCTAGCTAGCTTTTAGCTATTATTCAGCTGTCCTTCAGACTCAACTAAGCTATTTCTGCTAAAAGCTTCATCAATAACTTTTTTTACAAACATCTAGCTAGCTTTTAGCCATTATTTATCCATCTTTCAGGGTCAACTGAGTTATTTCTGCTAAAAGCTTCATTAAAAACCTTTTTACTAACATTTAGCTAACTAATAGCCAAAATTTAGCTGAGATAAAACCAACGTTTAACTTGCATATAGCTAAAATGAGCAGGGTTAAGTCAACATTAAGCTAACACTTGGATAACTTATAGCTAACAAACTTGTTGCCAGCACTTAGCTATCTTTTAGCTTATAGCCAAAATTAAGATAATTTTAGCCAGTAATTAGCTGTTATAGCCAACTTCTAGCTAACTCATGGCTAACATTTAGCTAGCTCTCAGTTTCCCCTGATCCATCTCTAACTATCCTGGACCCAGACCGGTTCTTCAGAGGGGGGGGGTCTGCTTCTGTGTGTGATGTGTGGTTTCCTCCCGCAGAGGGCCTGAGGTGCCAGCGGGGGGGGCTCCCGGACGGGGCGGGCGGCGGCCATGACGGCGGCGGCCATGATGGCGGCGGCCATGATGGCGGCGATGACGACTATCACCGTGGCGACCCGCAGATCGCCATCTGTCTGGACTGTCTGCGCAACACGGGGCAGGCGGGGGAGAGCACGGTCACGGTGAGCACAAGCCCCTGGTGGCCACGGGTGGTACAGCAGGGGGGGGTTATATTGCGAATATAATAATATATTATAATATATATTATTATTTTATTATTAACTCATTGACTGGCAGCCATATACATAACAGAGTCCCTTACTGCCAGAGTTTTTTGAGCATTTTGACTGATTTTTCAAGAGCCACAGAATAGTTTGTGCTATGACTATGTAAACACGGAACACACCAAAAGAAAGAGTAGTCTCTCTTCTTTCATCAGGAAAAAAAATGTGTTTCTACCTTATTCCGT